AAAAGTGTGAGGTTGAAAATTTGCCTACTAAAGTCACAATGTTGAATAATGCAGAGTTTTATACACCTACCTACAGATGCACCAGCCTACTTCAGGTTTCACGCCCATTTGAGGTTAAATTGAGAGTTATAATAATGTTCAACACAGTGTGATCACGTGACAATCTTATAATTACACTGTAATGAACCTGCGAGTTTAGAGTAACAACAAACTATACTAACTCAGGGTAACAACAAAATATACTTATCTTGTTCCACTGTAACACAGATTAATCAATAGATTCCGTACGTCACGTGACCATAATTTCGGATTCTTCGTTCAGGAAAAAACGTGTAATTTCCTGCCTTGCAGGTTGCGTTTTTGTTTAGAGATGACGTCAAGTGACACATACAGGACGTGATATTTTTAGTTATTTTGTTTGTGAGAATGAAATTGAAGACACCACTGCAGCTGTACTTATGGTTGATAAATATGGTGGTAAAGACACACCTGGCAATATGGCGGTAAGCACACGCCTGCCCACACACGCTCTCAAGGCTGCAAAGTTCTGGCAGAGATCTCTCCTTCTCACCACCACCACCATCAGTTCGCGCCTAGCGCCTGGTCGATGCATGGCTGGCGGTATCCGGCATAGCAAATTGGTACATCAAGTAGCGCATGGCACATAGATGATGACACAGCAACGACATAGCTCGATTGCGACGTACGTTTCGTCCCCGCTGGACTCATCAGGCAATCTTCTTCTTGGATGTCTTCATACGGAGCTTGACTCGGGAGAATGAAATTGAAGACACCACTGCAGCTGTACTTATGGTTGATAATTATGGTCTTCAATTTCATTCTCCCGAGTCAAGCTCCACCATATTTATCACCTATTTTGTTTGTCCACAGTGTAAAAGGTAGCAATAGCCTTTGCGTTAAAATCTTCTTTACTTCTATTGTCACCTTAATTTCATTCAAGCACAATAACGGGATGATACCACAAATCCAATATGAATGACTCGGATGGAGAGCCAAGAACGAATTGATAGAAAAGAAAGGGGCCAAGTAACTACAAGCTACGCTATTGTGTCCACTAACACCACCCGTAACTTGACGATCGGCTTAAGCTATAACAGCTTAAGCTATAACAGCTTAAGCTATAACAGCTTAAGCTATAACAGTGCTCGACACAGACCAACGGTTCTGACCTTCTGTACATCTAATTGCAAATCAACTCTGGCACGCATTTCATGTTGGAGTGCATATCCAAGACGTGCCAAAGTTGATTAGCAGTTGGTTTTAGAACGCCATTACCTCTCCCGTGTAATGTTATCGCATGAGCAAGGTCGTCACGTTACTAGTGGTGTTAACAGACATAGTAACGTAACTTGCAGTTCCTTAGTACTTTTCTTTTCTTGTAAACACTATGGTAATAGTGGAGATATGATCAGAGACAATTAATATTGTCATTTTATACCAGGCTCTTCCCAGTCCCTACATAAAATAATTAAACTCACAGTAGGCAAAAACACTTCCATTCAACGATGACTCAATACATACCTAACAACAAAGTGCCGCTCTTTTTCAACATTCCAAGTGCGGTACTGGAGAGTCCGAGTGAAGTAAAAATCTCAGCTTTCGATTCCCAAAACAAGAGCTGAGGTGAAGACAAAAATGGACGGATAGTGTTTGTGTGTGTGTGTGTGTGTGTGTGTGTGTGTGTGTGTGTGTGTGTGTGTGTGTGTGTGTGTGTCTAGTAGCAAGTATTACCTTCACTGGGGGCAGGGGTACCTGCAGTTGGATCCAGGGACGGATACCATGATGCCGTCAATTCTTTTTCTGCACCTTGTCCTCATCCACTTACTGAGGGTTTTTTTTTTTTTTTTACTACGTTCACATAACCAGCTCGAAACGAATAAGGAAAGACAATGGTACGGAGACTAGGACAAACGTGACAACTAATGAGCAGGCGCTGCACCGAGACGCAACAGTGATGGTGGGGCATTGATGACTCTGCCGACCTGAGGTCTCGGCGTCACGGCCAAAAACACGCACCAAAAACAATTAAAAAAGAAGAAGATAGAGCTGTACAGGTGAGAAAGATGCAAAACCCAAGGCTTAACACGAGCGATTGTGGGGGAGAAACTGTCTTATCGTCATACTATTCATAGGGAATCGACTGCCCAGAGCCTGTTTGTGCTGCGAAGATGGCGGTAAACATTCGGTTTGAATGATTGCATTCTCTTGCTGTGGGGAGGCTGGGATAGGAGAGCGGCAGGGAGGGAGTTCCAATCGCTGATGCTGCAGTGTGGGAACGAGCGCTTCAGTGCCAGCGGGGCAAATGCAGGCAGCTGGTGTTGGAGCTGGTGGTCATGGCCACTGACAGCACCGTGCTCGCTGCGAGTTCTGGGGTTGGTAGAGATGATGTGGCGCGGTGGCAACACAGAGAGCAGCCGCGGAGGACCAGGCAAGTAGTGCAGCTTGTACAGGCAGGCAAGCGAGGCAACAGTGTGGCGGATGGCCAGGCTGGGTAGGTGTGCCCCAGGGCCGATAGCATGAAGCGCGTGGCGCTGAACATTGTTCAGACGCTGGAGGTGACTCTGCGCAGCTCCCATCCATACAAGAGGCGCATACTACATGACTGGTCGTACGAACGCCTTGCATACGGTCGTCCGGCCGGCGGGGGTGAGTATGTGGGCGGCTCTGTTTAGGACCCCAAGCCGTTGGCGTACACGGGTGGCTACGGAGCGTGGGTGGTCGCTGAAGGTCAACTTGGCGTCCACCTTCACACCAAGGAGGGTGATGGTGGTTGTCTCGGGCACCAGTGTGCCACCAAACAGGAGTGGGGGGAGATCTAAGCCGGTGCGTCTGAGGGTGGCTGTCATGGCCTGGGATTTGGTCGGTTCAAACATCACTTTCCATGTACGACCCCACTCGTGCAGTCGGTCAACGGACACCTGCAGTGACTGCGCGGCGACTGTCGGGGTCTGCTGGGAGGTGACTAAGCTGTACAAAGTTGTATCATCAGCATAGGCTTCCAAGCTGGCGCCGTCAGCGAGAACATCTGGCGCGTCGTTGACGTAGGCCAGGAAAAGCGTTGGTCCAAGGATGCTTCCCTGGGGGACTCCAGCGGAGGTCGTATACCTAGATAACGTCTGCCCTCCAACAAGGCACTGTAGGGAACGGGTGTCCAGGTATGACGCCAGCCATCTCTGAAGCGGACCATCTATGCCTAGGCTACGTACCTTGTGGAGGAGGCCGACATGCGAGACACGATCAAACGCTCCTGCGATGTCCACAGCAAGGATACGAGCCGCCCCTCCACAGCCCACAGCGCTTGCCCAGGCAGTTTGGAGAGCTTGCAAAGCGTCCGATGTTCCGAGGCCTCTGCGAAATCCAAACTGGTGCGACGTGAGCAGATGATGGTCTTCAAAATAGTTTACGATGTGTCTGTTTACAAGAGTTTCCATTACTTTCGAGATTATGCACAGTAAGGATACGGGTTGAGCGGGAAGATCGCTTGTGGATCGGAACCACGTTGGCCGTCTTCCACATCCTAGGTTGCACTCCAGACCGGAAGCATAAAGCAAATAACTTGGACAGTGGCTCTGCGAGCTCATGAGCACATTCCTTAAGGACGCGAGCAGAAATACCGTCAGGCCCGGTAGCCTTGGAGACGTCGAGCCTTGCCAGGAGGCGGCGGACAGCCTGTGGGCGGAAGCGGATGGTGCGTTGAGGTGGAGCCTCTGAGGGAGCAGGGTCCGGTAGGTCAGCCTCCACAAGGTCCGGACCGGCAACGCTACATTTCTTCGAGAAGAAGCGAGCGAATGCCTCTGCTTTCTCTGAGCTCGTTGCCCACTCGCGGCCCTCAGAGTCGACAACTAGCGGAATTTCGGGCTGTGTGCGGTTGCCAGCAGCGTTCTTCAACTTCGTCCACCACTGTTTGTCTCTGAGGGTCCCAGTTGAGAGGCTGCGACGGAGGCTGTCCTCCTTCGCACGTCGTGATCGGAACTGGGTGGCGATCGCTACAGTCACGGAATCGGTGAATGCCTACTGAAGTGCTGGGTCATAAGGGTGTTTTCTCCAGTCGCGCCAGCGCTTCTCCTTCTCCCTCTCGGTCTGGGTGCATTCAGGCGTCCACCATACCGGATCGGAAGGCCCCGTTTCCAGGACTTTGGATGGGACAAACTGTGCAACAGCTGCAGTAATCGAAGCGGTAACCTGCTCACAGGAAGTTTCTGGGTCCTCCGTGATGATATCACCCCATTCCACGTTGCGAAGGTGCGCCCTGAGGCGATCCCAGTCTGCTCTGTTGTAGCGAAATACTGTTCGCTTAACCGAGGGGCGGAAGTATACGTGTAGTTACTGGGGACGTGAACGTTGACATTATGAGATCTAGCGGGTTGTCTCCATGCTGGACAAGAAGATGGGCAGCGCAGGTATCTTCGAGAGCCTCGCCTGCAGGCGTAGTTTTCGAGCTGTTCAGCCAAGCCCGGTTGTGCACGTTGAAATCGCCAGCTAGGATGATGTGGGAGCCCTGGTGTCTAGCTTCTGGGAGGATGTTGTCGAGATGATCGATTAAAGGGAAACTGAACGCCAAAAATAAGTATGGCTTATCCGAAGGAGAATTGGGCACTGATTCCGATGAGCTATGTCTCGAGCCGATCAGAGAAGAGGAACTGTGTCAAATTTCATAAATAACACCTCCCATATTTGGAAATTGGCCTTGATGACGTGCGTACTGCTTAGCTGTCACCATGCTGTGCATGTTCAGCAGTGTAATTGAATGGAAGAAAACAATTACTTTGGTGTTTTGCAGCTCTGTTTCGTTTCCTGACGGTAACCAAATCTAGATGTAGGAATCTGTTGAGCAGGAGAGGGACACATGTCTTCCCGAAGGCTGTCCAGGCTGCAGTGGTGATGAAGAAGACACGATCATCACCCCGAGATCGATCGTAGCGAATTGGAAAACTCATGGTGAATTTGCTTCCACTCCAAGGCAATGTCGAGGTATGAAGGGTGCTTGTACTGCCTTCCAAAGTGAAGAGGAGATGAACATGGCTTTGCATAGCTGTTGTTCTATGCCAACTTACCTACTCTTGCTGGTACCGTAGTGGCATATTGCAAATTTCGTGGACGAACAACTCTAGTCACTAGTGGCTAGTGAGCAACACTAACAGGTGAGATTTTTCAATTCGACAAAAATTGTTTTTGTTTGAGAACTGACAGTGGCAGTCATTAGACTCAGTAGGTGTCTCTCTGCTGCTTCTTTCCCTTCATCGGTAGGGTTGTGCTTGAAGTAAAAATAAATAGAAAATGTGGAACAAAAATCTGATCATGTAATTCGAATTTGAACTTCAAAGTATGTGTACATCAAATCACAAAAATGACTGTCAAGGTGGTGCTGTGCATTGAAAAAAACTGGGCGCTGGCAGCAATGGAAAGGGTAGAGACGAAACCAGTAATGCAGAGTATTCATAAGGTAGAGGGAGATGAAAACGGGAGAGGAGTAGTGAGCACTTCAGTTTGAAGTAGTGTCAATAGACAGCATCGTGTTGCATACGTTGTGAATATTGTGTGAATCTAATAATTGTCACGAAATTGATATCCAAAATGATTATCCCCAGAGTAGTATTATGGTGTTCTCCTGTGTTTACATGCAGAGCCTTGACGTTGCTGGACGAGCGACAATATAAATTACATAAACATGTAGCTCGTGATGTGGGATGACTGCCGTATCGCATTGCCAACGCAAACCCATCCTGTGTCAGTGCAGCCATCCAGCAACTTGAACTCCCCGGACCAGATGCCGCTGCAGCTGAACACCATGCCGATGGAAAGCCAGGAGTTGATAGCGAAGCATTCTGGTCTGCACAGTACAAGGCAAAGAAAAATTATGAATTATAATGCATTGTAATCTTTCCCACACTTCTTTGTAAAAACAAACAAACAGTGCCATTATCACAACACTTGATCAAGCATCTTGATGGAGGTATTTTCCATTGTGCTGGCTCAGCATCTGCACCAGGAAGACCATGTACACTTACACGTATCTTGTGTGTGTGTGTCCGTGCGTGTGTGTTTGTGTATCTGTATGTGCACACGTGTGTGTGGGGGGGGGGGGGACGCACATGTGTATGGGTAGGAATGTGTGTGTGTGTGGGGGGTACACGCACATGTGTATGGATGTGCGCGCTGCATGCGTGTGTCTGTGGGATGGGGTGGGGCTGCACGCACATGTGTACATGTGTGTGCGCAATACAGCATGTGTGTATGTGTTCGTTGAACACAGGGTGTACTCCTGATTACATAAACTTCGTGATCATTGCGATTTCATGTGCTTTGAAGTTGAAATTCGCAATACATGTACTGATGCTTGATTAGATTTATGTTCCACATGTTCTATTTATTTTATTTTACTTCAAGCACTTGTACTATTCAAGCACAACCCTACCAATGAAGGGAAAGAAGCAGCAAAGACACCTACTGAGTCTTATGACTGCCACTGCCAGTTCTCAAACAAAAACAATTTTTGTCGAATTGAAAAATCTCACCTGTTAGTGTTGCTCACTAGCCACTAGTGACTAGAGTTGTTCGTCCACGAAATTTGCAATATGCCACTACGGTACCAGCAAGAGTAGGTAAGTTGGCATAGAACAACAGCTATGCAAAGCCATGTTCATCTCCTCTTCACTTTGGAAGGCAGTACAAGCACCCTTCATACCTCGACATTGCCTTGGAGTGGAAGCAAATTCACCATGAGTTTTCCAATTCGCTACGATCGATCTCGGGGTGATGATCGTGTCTTCTTCATCACCATTGCAGCCTTGACAGCCTTCGGGAAGACATGTGTCCCTCTCCTGCTCAACAGATTCCTACATCTAGATTTGGTTACCGTCAGGGAACGAAACAGAGCTGCAAAACACCAAAGTAATTGTTTTCTTCCATTCAATTACACGGCTGAACATGCACAGCATGGTGACAGCTAAGCAGTACGCACGTCATCAAGGCCAATTTCCAAATATGGGAGGTGTTATTTATGAAATTTGACACAGTTCCTCTTCTCTGATCGGCTCGAGACATAGCTCATCGGAATCAGTGCCCAATTCTCCTTCGGATAAGCCATACTTATTTTTGGCGTTCAGTTTCCCTTTAAGGTAAGATCGCCAGGGGCACAGGACCCCGGCCGATACACTGCTCCCAAGACGGTGCGGAGACCTGGAGCTAGCTGGAGAGAAACCCAGATGATCTCATGTGGGGGGGACATGAGTTCAGGGATGAGCATGGAGGGGAGTGACGACTTCACCCAGATGGCTACCCTCCCCCATGTGCCGTTCTGTCCAACCGAAGTGGTGAGCTGTATCCAGGGAAGCTAATATCAGAGGGAAGCACTTTCTCCGCAGTGAACTTCGTTTCTGTCGCAATTGCTACGTCGGGCTGATGCTGCAGGAGTGCGTGCTGTAGGTCGGGAAGTTTGCTGGCTAGGCCGAAAGCGTTTGTGCAGAGAATGCGAAGATGCTTGCTACCCTTCATTGCAGGAGGAAGTAATTAAAAAAGGGGAGGGACATTTGGCGTAAGCGGGTGCGTAGTTACATGTATTGCTAAGGGTCCTAAAATCTAATGAAATACCTAAAAGGATCAAGCTAAAGATAAGAATGAGGAAGCTGGAGGAAGACACGAGGTTGAAGTAGGACAGGGAAAACCAGATTGTGTTTGTATACCTAGGGCTACACCGGGGGAGAAGATGTTATCTGCGCCAAGTTATCTGCTTATTGCTTGACGCAGTGATCTTTTTCGCCTTCTTCTTCCTCTGGTTATCACTAGAAACTACCAATGGGGAGGTCGACTCCCGCGGCCTCTTGTGGAAGCAGTCTGCCAATATCGCCAATGCTCTAGCCTCATCGCCCCCTGAGAGTTTCCCCTCAGGTGGACAGTCCGACTCCTCGGCCCAGCTGCTGTCAGGAGACAGAGTCAGGTCAAGTTCCACGTGGTTGCTTTGTTTATCATGCTCAGGTCGCATTTTGACAGTTACGGCAGAAGCTGAGTCTTGACTGCCATGTGTACCCGTGCCCTCCTCCAGGGGTCTCGAGTCGACCTGACCAGCTGGAGAAGCGCCCAGGCTCTCGTGTTGTGGCTGATCCTCGCGCGCTTTGTCTGAACCGATGACCTCCTGGGGTCCCGATTTGACTGCAGAGCTAGAGGCTAGGCTTTCAGGCAGTGGCAGATCCTCGCGCCCTTTCTGGGGTCCCGATTTGACCCTGTTAGCGTACGTTCCACGAGGGGTGCGTGGCCTTGTGGGGCAGTCCGCGGCCAGGTGACCTGGGGACTCGCATACCCTACAGGTGCGTGGTTGATCTTTATACCGTACGGCAAAGACGTGACCCCCTGCCGTTTGAACGTAAGATGGAATGGAGGGGCATTGTTTCCCTAGTTTGAAGCTTAAAAAGCGTACCCCGGTTGTAACATCGAAGCCATGCTTTGTGGTGACTTGACCGTATCGAACTGTTGAAGCGGGACTACTGTACGGTTTGAGAGCGTCCGTCAATGCAATGTCCGAGATCCAGACAGGGAGGTCAGATATATGCAGCTGGAGGATCGAATCCAGCACGTTTGAAACCAAAATAGTCTTATCCAATAGAGAAAAGCCCTCCCGAGCAACACGCTCTAGACGCGCAGTGGACATGAAGGTTAGAATGCACTCATGCTGTGAACTTATCTGAACAGATGTGAGGTGGTTGTATCCAGCATCTCCCAGTGCATTTAGTCAGGGAGCCGACCTTCAAAAAAGTGGCGCTCCAGGTCGGGCGAGATGGAGTACAAGATCTCTTCAGCAATGGGTTATGGGTCTATCAGAGAAGGGCTTTCGAGTTCTTGGCCATCCCAAAGCTGTGCACGGACATCGCGAGGACGCATTTTGTTCGACGATCAAATTCACAATTGTCAAGCATTTAGGCGCAAATGTTTTTCGTTCTCAGCCGACTTCTCGGTTTGAGAAGTAGGTGCGTACGCTCAAAATTCCAAATCAGTGACTATGCGCCTGTCCAGAAGATGACGACGCTGCAAGCTTACTTTCTCAAAGCGTGACATACATTTTCATTACGATTTTGGCTTTGAAAGTGAGAATAGTATTGCCATCGTCAGGTCCACTACAGTCACGAAGCATGGCGCTTCTGGACAAAAGCGCAACATAGAGTGTGTACCAGCAATAGTGCACAATAATACTCGCGCATACTCCGGCAATTCTGCAACGCGTGCAAGCAAAGTTTCAAAAGTATATTTCCAGGTCTGACTGAGGTCGAGTCGAGCGAAGATTCCGGCAGAGTAGGCGAGATGTTGCTTGCTGACAAGTCGGCCTCCGCGTCCCTGAGTCCTGACTGCCAGTGCCACAGCCGTATGCACCAGTGACCAGTCACCGGACGTGCAAGATCATCATCACCCATGTCGGTCAGTACTCTGCCTGGCCTATTTATCTGCTGGTGGTGTCAACTCCGTTGCAGTTTGCCAGCTTGTTTGTTCCGATACTCGTTCTTCACTGGTTCAGGTGAGCCTAGCTGCTTTTGCACAAAATACTTTGTGGATCCTGTGAGAGATCATGTAACTCGAAAACGAGACGTTGTTTGAAACAAAGGTAGAATGACAATCACTGCCAGGTCCACATGCACTTCTGACAGGAACTACGACAGACGTCTACGTAGCAGCACCAAAGGAGAGCATGGGATAGGCAACATAACAAGATAGAACATACATGCGCGCACGTGCATGTGTGCGAGCTTGTGTACACGCGCGCACGCCCACACACGCTTGCAAGCGTGTACTCACATGTGTGCGAGTGTGCATGAGTGCACACACACGCACACACATGTGACTCTCTGTTCGCACACACACACACATACATGTGTGCGAACATGCGCGCATTCATCACACACGCGTGCGCACATACATACAGGTGGATGCGCACATGCCAATGCTCACACACACATACACGCATACACATGTACATGTGCACGACACACGCGCGCGCGCACACACAGGTGGATGCGCGCACGTGCATGTGTGCGAGCTTGTGTACACGCGCGCACGCCCACACACGCGCGCAAGCGTGTACTCACATGTGTGCGAGTGTGCATGAGTGCACACACACGCACACACACACACACACACACACACACACACACACACACACACACATGTGACTCTCTGTTCGCACACACACACACATACATGTGTGCGAACATGCGCGCATTCATCACACACGCGTGCGCACATACACACAGGTGGATGCGTACATGCCAATGCTCACACACACACACACGCATACACGTGTACATGTGCACGCACACACACGCTTGCACGCACATACAAACAGGTGGATGCGCACATGCAAATGCTCACACACACACGCGCATACACGTGTACATGTGCACGACACACGCGCGCGCGCGCGCACACACACACACACGTGGATGCGCACATGCAGATGCTCACACGCATACATACATATAAACACACACACTCATGCACGCGCGCGTCATTATCTACGAATCTCAGAAACATGCAACACGCGGCCAGAAGTTAATCATCACCAGTGAACTTGCTGTGATTGTGGTACCAACAACATGCTGTGCAAGAACGTCACCATCATCGGCTGCTCTGAGGTAGCATTCCAGAATGGCAATTTACAAAGCCGCTGTCTAGTGCCCTACTATCATCTCCACGGAGCAGCAGTCGGAACCCAGGAGATAACTGCTCGGCATAGCTGCAAACATCGCAAAGGTTACAGCACTGGATGCTTCTAGTGCAACGGGTCACCCCAACCCTGTACTATACTTGCTGGTGCATGTCCGAATGTGACAACCCAATCATTAGCGCCCATGTTCTGGACCGTCACTAACGCTTCCGCCCAGGGCCTTATTACGGGCTTTTACGGTACTCGCCGATGCATGTCCGAATGTGGCAACCCGCTCAGCAGCACTACACATGTGAGCAACAAGTGGACGTCATTGGCAGCACAGAGCAGAGGATCGCAAACCGGATGAAGAATGGATA